CCATGAACATCACCTTGAGAATGACTACAAAAGTAAAGAGTTCCATCATGACAATCATATAGATTAAAACATAAGTCTGCAAATGGTATTCAGCTAAGGGAAAAGGAGAAATGAAATGCCTGGGAGCATGGTGACACAGTCAGTTGGGAATGACATAATCTAATAACTTTTTGTTTTGTTGAGTAGATGTCGTCAATTACATGGATGTAAAAAACTGTGAGATATGCGACCGAACAAGGCATGTAAGAGAACTGAGAATATTGAGGCGATGAAATGAAACAAGTTCCAATTGATCATACATAAATGCAAATTGAAAAATTACTACCAGAATTGGTAGAGCCTAAAAGTTGAACCAGCACATCAGTTTTTTGCTTTATGACTAATTTTGGAAGTGAATATGTGATAACTACGTATAATTTAATAATGTTATTAATTACTCAATGATAGGATAAACATTAGATATTTTCTAAGGGTATTTTGGTCAACTAGATAATGCACACATGTATTGCATGTGAATAATTTTAAATAGTAATTTTTTATTATGATTATTTATTTTTTGTGCATGAGGAGAAAAAGTGTAATAACCATTTAGAAATAATTATGTTGCATCTATAAACGTATTAAAATATTAATTTAAAAATAATTATTTATCATGCTAATTGCTCCAACCTATGTAAATTTAGTATTAATCCTTATTTTCATGGAATGTTGGAACGTCGTCGCCCTCGGTGAAATAGGAGCTAGTCCTACATTTAAATTCTTTTTTTTACTTGGAATAATCTAGTAATTTTTTTTTAATTGAGTAAATAACGTATATTGGGATGTCACTCCTAGCTATAAGATTAATTGATGGGCATTAGAATTGAATATATAGGTGTCTGTGCAAGAAACACATTTGAAAAACATACTGCTTCTCACCAATTTGATGTCATGGAGTTTGTGAAATGTCAAGACTTCTATAACAATTGTTCTTCCTTGATTGACAGTATAACTTCAAGATTTCATTCCTCCTGTTTTGTTGATTGTTGGCATCACTCTTCTTTTTTACTTGGCATATGAAGATATGCAGGCATTTACTAAAAATGCAATAGCACCTCAACAGCCCACATGACCTTCAATTGTATTAATATATCTGTTAATTAAAAAAGATAAATATGGGCATTAGTGGTTTTATCAAGGGTATTTTTGTCAATCAAATGTATAGATATAGATATATTAACAAATCAGGTCCAAATAATTCCAAATTCAAAGGAGAAAAAAATTATGGCCTAGGGGATCAAATAAATGGGTAATTAATAAATTTTACATTAAAATAGTCCATTAATCATAAACCATTAAAGAAATGTGTCTTATTAATAATTATGTGAAAATTGAAGGTGAGTCCTCATATATAGACTTATAATAACTTGAGTCCTAGAAAGAAACTTATTTGAGGGTAAATTCATATTTAAACTTATATGTATGTACTTAAGTCCACTTATTTTTTAAATCTCAAAATTACCCCTAACGGTGTTAGTTTTGTCCAATTATGAAATATATCATTGAGGTATATATGAAAATTCTTGATTGAATTATATATTTTGATCAAAAAAAAAGTTATATATAAAAATCGTTTATTAAATATTATGATAATTAACAGAAGTTATATATTCTGATAGTTATATATGATAGCTTGATATACAAATAAATCGTTGATCTATTAAGTTAAAATCATATTACAAAATTTCCTTAACATTAGTGTTTCTATAGTGATTCTAATTTTACTAATTCCATATTCAAAGGAGAAAAAAGTTATGGCCTAGGGGATCAAATAAATGGGCAATTAATAAATTTTACATTAAAATAGTACATTAATCATAAATCATTAAAGAAATGGGTTTCATTAATAATTAACGATAGTAATTGTGTCAACTGGGATTTTTGGTAAGTATAATTTTATTGTTTTGAGGAAATACCTTCTGGACCAGCCCAGTATCCTGGTGGTCCAAGGATCATTGGCTAGCCTAGTCTACATTTTTGACAGGGCTTAGGTCAAGTCAATTCATTGGCTCGATGGGTGGTCCATGGGCCTAACCAACCCTCTGCCATTTTAGGGCCCAAAAATAGATAGATCCATTTATTAAAAGTTTTTGCTGGCCCAGGAATTGAAAAATTATTGGAACAAAATATCCTCAAAAATATATTTCCATTCAATTTTCCTTTGAGAGTAGATCATTTATCATATATTAATGAAACCCGCATTTATAGTGCGTGCCACTTGAATTTATAGCGTGTAGCCCTTTGCCTTTGTTCTTTCATGTATTCATAGGATGTGTTACATTTTTTAATGGAAGACCGGAATTGCAGGTTCTAAAGGAAACCCAATACATTAGACATCTACATTCTGGATTATTAAACGATTCAAGTAGCTCAAGTTTGACTTTGGTTTAGCTCATCTAAATAAACAAAACAAATCGAATCTAGTCAGGTTTTCGTGTTCGTTTTCTAAAATATTTGAATTCAAATAACTTGCGGGCCCCACTCTAGTAGACTCGGTTCGAATAGACTATGCCTATAAATAATTTTATTGTCAAACAACTTCTCCAATAGTGTGTGATTTAATTATACATTTTAGTATTTATTTTTTAAAAAAAATTTATTGAGAAATTAAGCTCAATTCGACTTAAATGCTGTCAAATCTCTGTTGAGCAAAGATTAACAAAAATCTAAATAAATTTGACTGTCATTGTCGACTAATCACTGCACAATCTAACCTAGATATATATAGTCAAACTTTGCCCCACCACTATTCTTATCTCTATCTCTGTATATGGTAATGAATCAATTTAAGGTTGATAATCGACCTAATTTTGAATAGCTCGATTATTTTACATATAAGTGAATCAAATTTTACGAATTCAAACCGAATCTTTTGTGCTCGTTTTCTAAATAAATATAAAAAATTATTTAAATATTATTCGATCGAACTTAAATAATTCGACTCTTAAATCAATCGACTGGTATGACATAGGCAATCACAAGTTCACTTTCTCTCTAAGGCTGTTCAAATCAACCATCAACATCAACATCAACCAAAGTACCAAACAACTCAGTAACCTTTGGGACGATCCTGTCTTCTTCTCTCTCATGTTTCGGTTAGAACAACCGGCAAAATGATCAAAAAGGGATTGATTGGTAGGGAATACCTTATAAGCGAAGTCACAATGCAGAAAGAGTGGCAGTGGGGAAGTATTTCATGGTAATTACTTGAAAGAGGTACTATGATTATCACATTCTTGGTGCACAACAGCAGCTACTCTTGGTCCCAAGCTATCTCACGTGATTTCAAATATAATTTTTTTCGTTAAACAGTCAGGTGGTGTGCATGTTAATTTATATATATTTCGATTAATCTTTTTTTGGGTTTAATGAAAGACAGGTCATACATGTCAGGGCTAAATTATAAAAAATAATTTTTCATGACCTAGCGTCAAATGATTGTTAATATCATTCTTGTTATAAAATGATTACCCTAAATTGCATGCCTTTTGCTTTTATTACATCATGCATGCTTTAATTTGGATTATCACCAATGACCCATGTTTAAATTGCATGTCGTTATGTCTTCTCAGTCACTCTTTGCATCCACAAAATGCCTCTCCGAGACTAGTCTGGTCTTTACTCATTATAACATTTGGTTCATTTATATGTGGTGAATCTGAGTGTATTAAATGTGAAATATGAAATTCTAACATGACAAGGATGTATGAAATGACACTCTCCCCCCCCCCCCCCTGGTCGTTTTTAAATTACTCAAATACCCTTAGATTCTCATATTTGTTGATTGCCCATAAGGACAAAACCATCCTTTTTGGTTGTCCATTATATTACCCAACTGTAATTCGCAAAACAGTCGCTGTCAAATTGTAACAGAGACGAGTTATAAATTTAGATATTTTAAAATCTTGATAACTCTTTTAGACCAATGAGGGATTTTTTCCTCATAAATATTCTAATCTCAGCGTGAATAACTTATTTTTGATTGAATCGAAGAGAAAATTAATCAAAATGTGCGTAAATTAACATAAATATCTTTATAGCTAAATCAAAAAAAAGAAAGAAAGAAAATTAGCGTCACTACCATGGCACATAAATTTGTTAGTTTGTTTGTTTGTGATTAGGTCATGTCTTGTTTTCGAAACAGTATAAAGAAAGGGGTGAGTCCAAATTCACCAATATGCTTTCACGAAAAAAGGATGTTTTAGTCATTAAAAAGCAACCAAGTGAACCATGTCAAGGCAAGATACAAATCATGATAAGGCTACATGGTTAGGACATAATAAGGTTAATACGTCCCTCACACGACTCCCTTGCCATATTTTATTGTTAGGGCTAATTTTACTTTATACCTCAAAAGATATTTTAATTTTTGATTTGTACTCTCAAATATTAAAAAATTTATTGTTCACTTTTTATAGTATAAATCGATAGTAACGTAGACCTAACTTAAACTATCATTTAGTTTGTCGTCATAAATTGAATGATGTGAGTTGCAAAAGTGCTTCTTCGGACATGGGCCTATGTATAAATTCACAAACTATTGGCGTCTCATGTGAGTTGCATACAATAATGTTAGTCTATATCTGATTAATGAAATCCTATTTTTAAAATACAAAACGGTGTCAAATTGATTGCAGACAAAGATCTGTAGTAATTGATACATTTCATCCTCATGTCCGAAGTACTTGCACTTCACTATTTCAATTTATAACGAAGTGTAAAGTAGTATAGATATCCACATTACTATCAATTTATAGTATTGAGGGTATAAATTAATGTTTTTAATATTTAAAGGTACAAATTGCAAATTAAAATATCTTTTAGGGGTATAAATGAGATTAATACTTATTGTTATAATGTTTGAATCAAATTATAACACGCATAATTATGATAGAGCCCTTGTTTAAGCAAAGCTACACAAAGCAACAGAGGCGCGCGCACGCGCACACACAGGCGCCTCATCGAAGCAAAACCAATACCACAGAGCGTCACTGCCCCTTTATGGTCTGCTTTGTGGGGTCTATGTGTATTTCTCTGTCATATATATCATGTACTGAGAAGGAGTTTGAGCAGCCTCCGACATTCATTATCATCTTCAGTCTACTTCCTTAATATACTCAAATCTCCTCCAATAATTACCCGTAGATTGCTCTATTTTTTCACTTTTACCCTTCAGAATCAGAACCAGACATGGTTCAATTTGAGACCTTATGGATAGAGCTCTCTCATACCGAGAAGAACCACCAGTCACTCAACAAAGCCATCAACAACTCAATGTTTGTTTTCCAGTCTTGAAGTCCAGACGTTCCAATAACCCAAACCCATTAACTGTTTTAATAGTTTGGGTCTCAAAATCTCTTAGAAGATTGTATTGTAATGATAGAGTGTCAAATGGATTTTGCTGTAAAAGGGTAAATTTTACTGGTATGGTTGTGAACAACTCAGTCTATTGTGCTTCACCGTGTTTTCTTGAGGCTAAAATGGAGGGTTTGGTTGATAAGAGTGAAGGAATGGAAAGGAAAAACGAGGGGTTAGGCGAAAACGGGCATAAAATTGAGGCTTTTGTGGACTTTGTTGAAGAGGAGTGCCGAGAGAGTAGTTCAAGTTCTGATTTTTTGGCGTCTGAGGCAACAGTGAATGAGGAACATAGTAGCTCCGAGGTCTCATCTTCGCCCCCCTCAATTCGTTGGCCTAATCAGAAGCACGAAGTGTCACATTGTTCTAATTCTGGGCCTTTTGAAGATGTGGGAAAACCAAAACCCCATATGGATGACAGGAAGCTAGAGAAACAAGGGTCATCGATCTCAGGTACTTGTGTTATTTCTTGTTTGTCCTCACTATATGTAGTATTGATTCATGTATGTAAGTCTATTTGTTTGATGATTTAATTTCGGTTTGAATAGAGATAGAGATGATGAAGGAAAGATTTTCGAAGTTGCTGCTTGGAGAAGATATGTCTGGCTGTGGAAATGGGGTTTGTACAGCATTGGCTATTTCAAACGCAATTACTAATCTTTGTGGTATGCTATGTATTTGTATGATGAAGCTTTTGTTTGATTAGTTTACCTTGATTTGACATATGAATTTGGTTATGGTTAGTATGCAATTCCTGTGTTGGCCTGTAGTTTGATAGTTGATGCAATATTTTCGTGCACAACTTTTTAGCTACAATATTTGGGCAAATTTGGAGACTAGAGCCTCTACCACTTGAAAAGAAATTAATGTGGAGAAGAGAAATGGAATGGATTATTTGTGTTAGTGATCACATTGTGGAGTTGATACCGTCTTGGCAGACATTTCCGGATGGAAGCAAGCTTGAGGTAACTTTCGATTTCTTTAAATTTTAGGTTTTGATTCCAATTTAGGATCCCTTCGTAGTTTTAGCGGTGAGTTTGATCAAAATGGTATCAGTGGTCTATTTGCATTCTAGAATTGGTTCTAGGTATTAAATGCTTGAAATTGTTGCACGCTGAAGTTAGCATGCATACCTCCATTTAATCCAATCATTCACGACTTCATGTGATCACTGAATATTAGACTGTCAAAAAAAATAGGAAAAATCATCATCTATTTGGGTAGAAAAAATAAGTGCGTCATTAAATTTTTTTCATTAATTTTCTTTCTGATTTGATTCAGGTCATGACTAGTAGACCCCGATCTGATCTTTACATCAATCTCCCAGCTCTACGTAAATTGGATAACATGCTTCTTGTAAGATTCTGAATCTTGTTTCTTGTTAGTATATTGCTCACTTGAGTGGTTATTCCGAAGTTTGGCCTCTTCTTTCAGGAAATATTAGACAGTTTTGGGAATACTGAGTTCTGGTATGTCGACCAAGGGATTGTAGCCCCGGATGCGGATGGGTCATCTTCCTTTCGGAAATGCCTCCCACGTCAAGAGGAGAAATGGTGGTTGCCAGTTCCTCGAGTTCCTGCCGGTGGTATCAGCGAAAATGCAAGAAAGCAGTTGCAACACAAGCGCGATTGCACAAATCAAATACTGAAAGCAGCCATGGCCATCAACAGCATCTCTTTAGCTGAAATGGAAGTCCCCGAGTCATACTTGGAAGCTCTTCCGAAGGTATCAAGTGCAGAGAAATATACTTTAATGTGATCGGATTGACCTTGTTGCTTAATTGATGTTCCTATGACTCGGTTACAGAATGGAAGGGCCAGCCTGGGGGATCTTATCCATCGATATATTTCATCAGATCAGTTTTCTCCTGATTGTCTACTGGAGTGCCTTGATTTGTCTTCTGAGCATCAAGCCCTTGAGATTGCCAACAGAGTAGAGTCCTCAGTTTTCGTGTGGCGCCGAAGAACCAACTCAAAACCCTTAAATGGCACGAGTCGGTCCAATTCAAAGTCATCGTGGGAAATGGTCAAGGATCTGGTAATTGATGCAGACAAGAGAGAGTTGCTTGCAGAAAGAGCTGAGAGCCTCCTGCTTTGCTTGAAGCAGCGTTTTCCTGGTCTCCCTCAGACCACCTTAGACATGAGCAAAATCCAATACAACAAGGTTCTCATTTACATTCCACTTCACCATTTCTCCCTTTCAATTAAATACACTGTCATGCCTCCGAGTTTTAAGATCATAACCAGTCTACTCTGCCCTGTTTCTTAGGATGTTGGCAAATCTATTTTGGAGAGCTACTCAAGAGTTTTGGAGAGCCTGGCATTCAATATAGTGGCACGTATTGATGACCTACTTTATGTGGATGACATGACGAAGCATTCAGATCAATCCTTGTCAATATCCAAAGTCGGCATGATTGCTCATAAGGGTGTAGGAATTCCATACTCGGTGCCTGTCTCGAGCACTCCATATAAAACAGCTTTCACAACGCCAAGCTTCTCACCATCACAACGAATCAGTCCTGCAAAGGGAGAAAGATTATCACCTTGTTTGGATAGCAGCAAACTTCCTCATCGTGGATTTGGCGTGAAAAAAGTATTGACAGACTATTTGAGTATTGATACAAAAGGGAAGGAGTACGGCAACCAAGTTGAAAGATCAGTTTCATTTTCAAGTACAACTCTAGAAGCATCAGCTTCTCAAACAATAGAAACTTTCGAGTGTCTAAAAGAAGCCCTTAACCCGCTAACAGAAGACTCGGTCTGGGTAGAACGAACACTCCCTGAGGATCGCCTTTGAAACAGCTATACTGGATATCGCCATTCAAGTGAGATCCTTCTTGTATGATTGTCATTGATGTAGAAGGTGTATTTGACAGTGGGAAGAAAAGTATATCATATTTTTAGTTCCTTCTTGTATCGAGAGATGACTTAATAGTTGCGAGCTGAGTGCTTTGTGTTTCCCATATACGTCCCTAATTTGTTCTTTGGTGCTTCATAGTTCATGTGGTTCCCCCTATGCTTTTTCATTTGGGTTCAGACCTTCATTCATAATTCTCAGTGTATACAAATTCAAAAAAGGCTCAATTTTCTCCTTTTGGCCACTGCTGACCTTCTACGTTCCGTTTTGTTACTCTTTTAAATCAAACGTACAAGAATTTGAACTTGGTGATCTTTCCAAAACAGTATTTTTTATACATGTTATCATTCTACAATCACAATTTTTTTTTTATTAAAGGTTATTTAGGCTTGTACTGATTATTACCTCAAGCTATGAATCGCTCACCGTAACTTGAGCAAGTTTAAGGAAGAACAAAAATGGTGACCCTTAAGAGGTGTGGGAAATATAGATCTTTTAGAGGATAGACTCGACTACTGGACCATGCCTAAAGGCTCATTCCAACTACTACATGTCTCCTGAGAAATAAAAGTGACTGACCATTAAAGAGCGTAAAAAGTATTAATTCTGATATCTCTTACTTGCAAGGGGACATGCTTGACCATTAGACCACCTTAAATCGAGCTTATGTAAGGACATGTTCCTTAAGAAATAAGGATGATTGGCCCTTAAAAAGTGTAGAAAGTATCAAACTTAAAACTTCTATCTTATAGGGAAAAAAATATTCAACCTAAATGGTATGACTCATGATTTTGCCGGTGAAATAGATCAAGTCCGACGAACAGAACTTAAAAAAAAAATTTCAAACAAGATAAAAAGGATGGGCGCCACCAACAAACAAGTCGTTGTAGTATAGTGGTGAGTATTCCCGCCTGTCACGCGGGTGACCCGGGTTCGATCCCCGGCAACGGCGTTCCTTTTTGATTTTACTTATACTTATTTTGCTGGGGCACAAAAAACCTCCTACTGTTACTGCGACCATAAAGGCCATCATATGGTGGTAAAAATGTATAATTGTTGGTTTGATAGTCTGACCGATAAAAGCTAGTAGGCTGTTTGAATGTACATTCTATCTTTAATATTGACTGTTAAAGGTCTTTTCCGGATAATGCTTGTGCACTTCTTACTTAGCAAAGTGTTTACTCTTTTTTTATTGTAGTTAAAAAGTATGCTGGTAGATTTATTGTTAAAAGATTTTTAATGTAACAGTGGCTAATCAATCCGTTGTGTTTAAAATGTAAATTATGGCCCTTGAGTTTAAAAGATTTGAATCATTGTTGTGTTTTATGGTAAATACACTTATGTTTGATTATATAGATGATATTAGTTTGAGTAAGTGAAGACAAACTTTGGCGTAACGGTCATGTTGTTCCATTGTAACCTGGTAGTCACGAGTTTAAGCCACAAAAATAGTCTCTCTGATTGCAAAGATAAGACTGCGCACATCTAACTCTCCACAAACTCCACAATTACGGGAGCGTCATACAGTAGATATGCCCATCTGTTTGAGTGGGTAAGAATAATTTATAGCCTTTCATTATCCATTGTCTGTATTGTGTATTGTCTTGATGCGAGGTTCAGATACATGGAAGCAAAATTGCTAAAAACAACAGAGAAAATCTGCCAGAGCACGAAAAAGCAATATTGACAGCAAGAGAAAATTATGCAGCACCAAGACAAGCACTGATTGTGGCATCTATGGCTGCAGGGCTTTTCCTGTCGACTGGAAAGCTCCTAACAGCCAAACAAGACTAAACGATCAATGAGGGACAGTGAGGGTCAAAATACTGAGCACAAAATAGCCACAGATTGTTGGTCGAGATGTCGATGGCTTTGATACAATTTGTTGGACATACCACTAGATAATTCTGCTACTGGTCCACACACCAAGCAAGAGCTAAATCAACAGTTGGTAATGAACAAAACCATAACACAGATTACAACATTGTTCCACATGTTGGGTCACTGTCCATTGACGAGGATGATTGAAGGGTTTCTAGCAAATGACATTTTTTTGGGTAAGAAAGCAGAGAAAGTTCAGCCACACAAAGATTGTACTGAATTTTTATGTTAAAACTGTCCACCACAGAAGGAGACTGGCATACAAACTCCCTAGAAAGAACATATAACTGTCAAATACATATAATGCTTGACAGGAGGAAGCAATTACAGGCTGCCTGCAACGACCAGGCTACTATCCGTCTTTCATATACGCTATATCAATAAAAGAGAAGATATTAAGCTATATCAATTTGGGATGACAAGCAGTTAAATGAAACTACATCAATGATATAGTCCTTCACATGCAAACTTCTTTCCATTTGAATTTTTTCAATCTTCTTTCCCCCTCTGTTTTTCTGGGTTCATGGGTTTATGTCGCGCTAATATTTATGCATGAAATTGACACCCCAAATGGCAAATGGGAGTGATAGTGGTACTCATAGAAAAGAGAGTTTCATTTTCTGAACTACCCTTTCTAAAATTAATTTTTGTGCTACTTGGTCATGGGATTCGAAGACAACAAATCTATTATGCCTCAGCAGAAATTTTCAAACCTAGAAACTAAAAACATTCAATGCACATGTTAGATTAGAGATATGTATGATGTGCAAAATTGTGATGAAAACATCACTAGACTAGATAACCTAGTCTCAGAGTCTATGACCATCCAAGGAAACACCATTGAATGGTCCATGTCTGGTACTTATCAAGGTCTTTTTAGAAGTTAGAATTGAGAATGAAAACCAATAAAAGAACTCGCATCTAATTTCTCAAATAGAGTTTCATAAATAAAATACCTAGTATATGTAAAGTTCACAAGCCATGGGTAATGAGCGCTTAATAATGGAGAGAACCTGCCAAAACAAATATTTGAACAGAAAATCTGCTAGGGCAATACATATTGGAATCCGCTTGCTGTTCCAGAAAATGTCATACTTCATACCTTGCCACCAGTTTCCTCTTGAAGCACTGCTAGAGTCATCTTCTCCCGAATTTTTATTAAACTGTTAAGTTCAAAAAAGAAATTACCAAAATATCTGTGATAGTCCTCTACAAGATATCTCAGACAGGCACCACTTGTTTTTTTGGTTAGAGATGTCTATATATTAACCTTTCATGACTATGCTCACAAGAAGGAAGACAAATAAGTAAACAAACCTCTTGATGATTAATTTCATTTCCTTTCTGCTTCTGAAACACAGTAAAAGTTATTTCGTTAGTCCCCGGATTCATTGCCATGAGTAGAATTCTTACAGATATGTGCCATGGAAGTTGAATAACCTGATTAACTACAAGTATGATGCATGGTTTTTAATTTTTGCAACATTAGTTATGCTTTTTGAGTTGCATTTATAGAACTCTCTCAGGAAGTGTGCTCAAAATGTACTATAATGCAGTATTCATTTCAATTAGGTTAATGTATACTCATATTGTCTGGGTATTCTGAGGTTGAGAATAGACATCTTGTCCACCATAGTATATTGATGAGCAGAGATAACATGGTTGAACTTTTTCCTGGTGATAAAACGAACTCATGTCTCTGATACTTATGCTCTGACTTCCTTCTTCATTGCTAAAGGGGTAGTTTCTGCTAAAAGAGCAGAATCAACTCCAATTCAGAAAAAGGACGACTACATGACCGTCAACCCAATTTATGCACAAATGTATTCCCCAAAAAAAAACACATTGGAAATGATAGATTTTGAATAATGTCATTCAGGTCTGCCTAATGAGTAAGCATGTAATGACTTCATAAGGACTAAATGAAGGTTGTAATAGTTACTTACCAATGTATGAATTCTACAAGATCATGTACAAACAAACATTTAGTTTAATGACAAACATACAAGTTTCTTTTCTCAATATGAAGTGAAAATTAGATATTTCATAAAGACAAAAAGGACCATTGAGTTAGTTCAGGACTACCCACCAACATGTGGGGGGAGGCTATCCTTTCGGCATGTCACATACAAAATAAAGTACCTCATAAGCAAACCGATAAAACACCTTATGAACTTTGGAATGAACGTCCACGTAGTTTGGGATACCTCAAAGTGTGGGGGTGTTTGGCAAAGGTTATGTTACCTGAGCCTAAAAAGAGAAAAATAGGTTTTAGAACTTGTGATTGTGTATTTATTAGATATGCTTCTAATAGCACCTCTTATAGATTTCTTGTGATTAAAAGTGACATTATGGAAGCTAATACTACAATTGAATCCAATAATGCCACTTTCTTTGAGAATGTGTTTCCTATGAAAGTTCATGAACCTAAAGATACTCAAGAACATGTTAGTGGTTCTGGTGGTATTGAGAATGAGGTACAAGAATTGAGAAGAAGTAAAAGAATGAGAAAAGAGAATAGTTTTGGTGATGACTTTTATGTCTATGTTGTGAATGATGAACCAATAACTTAAAATGATGCTATAACTTCTATAGAAGCACCTTTTTGGAAGGAAGCCATCAATAATGAGTTAGAATCCATTATTGCTAATCACACGTGGGAACTTATGGATTTACCTCCTAAAACTAAGCCTATTGGTAGTAAATGGGTGCTTAAGAAGAAATTAAGACCGAATGGGTCTATTGATAAATACAAGGCACGGTTGGTAGCTAAAGGCTATAAACAAAAGGAGAATATTGATTATTTTGATATTTACTCTCCGGTGACTAGAATTACATTTATTAGATTGTTATTTGTCATTGTTTCTATTCATAAGCTTGTTGTACACCAATTGGATGTGAAAACCACATTCTTAAATGGTGATTTAGAAGAAGAAATTTATATGGAACAACCCAAAGGTTGTGTAATTCCCGAACAAGAGCATAAAGTATGTAAATTAGTGAAGTCCTTATATGGACTAAAACAAGATCCTAACAATGGCATGAGAAATTTGATAAAGTGATGTTTCTAAATGGATATGTGATTAATGGCGTTGATAAATGCATTTATTTTAAATGCTATAATGATGGAGTTATTACTATTTGTCTTTATGTTGATGACTTACTTATATTTGGGATTAACTATAATGTTGTGATTGCAACCAAAAGATTTCTTGCATCTAATTTTGATATGAAAGATATGGGTAATGCTAGTGTTATTGTGGGAATCAAAATTTTAAAATATAGTGATTTCATTATTTTATTACAATCTAATTTTGTTAAGAAAATGCTTAAGAAGTTTGAATATTATAAGTGCATACCCTTATCTTATCCTTATGATGCTAAAGTGCATATAGTGAAAAATAATGATGATAGTGTATCACAGAGTAAGTATGTACAAATTATTGGTAGCCTTATGTTTTTGATGAATTATAATCGTCCCAATATTACATATGTTGTTGGTAGATTGAGTAGATATACTCATAATCCTAGTGAGGATCATTGGAATGCAATAATAAGACTAATGAGATATTTGAGAGGCACCATTGATTATGGTTTATCCTTTTGTGGTTATCCTTCTATGTTAGAAGGTTATTGTGATGCTAACTGGATTTCTAATATAGATGAGTTAAAGCCTACTCATGGTTATGTGTTCACACTAGCTGGAGGGGCAGTCTCTTGAAAATCATCCAAGTAGCTAGTGATTGCGAGAGCCACTATGGAGTCAAAATTAATAGCCTTAAAGAAGGTTTGTTCCGAAACAAAATGGCTACAGAATTTTTTAGTGAATATTCTCGTATCATTATTTACTAATCCAGGTCCACCTGTAATTATGCATTGTGATTTTCAGGTTGCCATAGCTCGAGCTAAAAGCAAAATATATAATAGGAAGAATCGTCACATCCGGATGCGACATACAATTGTGAGGCAGCTTATTAAGAATAGTACCGTGTTCATAGACTATGTGAAGTCAAAGATGAATCTTGCAGATCCTTTGACTAAGCCACTGACGAGGAGGCCAGTGAGCGAGACATTGAGGGGGATAAGACTGCTGCCTATTTTAGGGACTATGTGATGTGATTGATACCCAACCCCTTATGATGGGTGATTCCACATATGGGATTAAATGGGAAGCGAAGTCACAGATAGTCTCAGAAGGGCACTGTCACGTATTGTTATCCCACTTAGACACTGAGGCCTAATTTGAATGTTCATCCCTAGAGTGTCATGACAGTGTCTCTACAGTGAGGAGGTTGAGTTGCTACTCTTAATAGATCCATAGTCCCTAATTATTGAGTTGGGGCGTTCAGCTACAGCACACTCCTGATGGATGCTACCTATATGTGTGTGAAGGTGGAACCGCCTTCTATGTGACATGGGCAAGTCGCTAGAGCACACATGAAAACCCAGGACAGACGCATGGCTGATATTTAATGCGCCAACCCGCATATGAGAACAACCCTAATTAGTGGAAGTTATGTGAATGATGAGTTGGTTAATTCAAATTATGGGATATGGTTAAAAGAGTCTAACTCTACCATTATTTCAGTGGGTTGCTCTCACTTATTCTAGGTAAGGTTAAAACGTACGTGGTACCTTATCGATGCATGTTTTTTCGTGTTCCTCTTTTTATCTTATTTGAATGTTTTGAAACATGTGGGAGATTGTTGGGCTTATTTTATTGTGTTTCAAAACATTTAATTGGTTGAGCCTACACTCTTTTATTATTTCTAATCCTATTGACTTAGTCTTTTGTCTTTGCAAACCCATGGCCCATTTCTTTTGTTTTTACCATTGGAGTAGCTTACAATATAAGCTCACTTTTTTTGGTCTAGTTTTTCTCTTGGCAGTAGACTTCGGCTTTCACTCTCTTGTTCTCTTGCATTTTTTCTTCTCTTCTCTCTTTCTTTGCTTCAAAGTTCACATTATCTTTAGAAAATTTTGTTTTGCTTTCACAAGGAACTTTCAAAAAGGGTTGTTAAACACTCTTCACCACAAGTGTGTTGGTGGAGGTGAAGCTATAGAAATCCTGGGAGGTTGTCGTGTCAGAGACCTATCACATCGAGTCATCGACTATGAGGGACGCAAATCAAGCTTTAAGGACAAAGCTTCGGCTTGATCTACAATTTGGTGAGCTCGTTCCTTTAATTATATTTCATAAATTGTGATTTTAGAAAAAATCATTTTTGGATCTAAATTCTTGGGTCTTTGTTTTTAAAAAATTAATTGTGCAAGAGTTGTTTTTTCCATCACTTCATTGCTTTATTAAATAAATTACACAACAGTCCACACACCAAGCAAGAGCTAAATCAACAGTTGGTAATGAACAAAACTATAATACAGATTATAACATAGTTCCACATGTTGGGTCACTGTCCATTGACGAGGATGATTGAAGGGTTTCTAGCAAATGACATTTTTTTGGGTAAGAAAGTAGAGAAAGTTCAGCCATACAAAGATTGTACAGAATTTTCATGTTAAAACTGTCCACCACAGAAGGAGACTGGCATACAAACTCCCTAGAAAGAACATATAACTATCAAATACACATAATGCTTGACAGGAGGAAGCAATTACAGGCTGCCTGCAACGACCAGGCTACTATCCGTCTTTCATATACGCTATATCAATAAAAGAGAAGATATTAAGCTATATCAATTTGGGATGACGAGCAGTTAAATGAAACTACATCAATGATATAGTCCTTCACATGCAAACTTCTTTCCATTTGAATTTTTTCAATCTTCTTTCCCCCTCTGTTTTTCTGGGTTCATGGGTTCATGTCGCGCAAATATTTTTGCGTAAAATTGACACCCAAAATGGCAAATGGGAGTGGTAGTGGTATTCATAGAAAAGAGAGTTTCATTTTCTGAACTACCCTTTCTAAAATTAATTTTTGTGCTACTTGGTCATGGGATTCAAAGACAACAAATCTATTATGCCTCAGCAGAAATTTTCAAACCTAGAAACTAAAAACATTCAACGCACATGGTAGCTTAGAGAAATGTATGATGTGCAAAATTGTGATGAAAACAGCACTAGACTAGATAACCTAGTCTTCAAGAGTCTATGACCATCCAAGGAAACACCATTGAATGGTCCATGTCTGGAACTTATCAAGGTATTTTTAGAAGTTAGAATTGAGAATGAAAACCAATAAAAGAATTCACATCTAATTTCTCAAATAGAGTTTCATAAATAAAATACCTAGTATATGTAAAGTTCACAAGCCATGGGTAATGAGTGCTTAATAATAGAGAGAACCTGCCAAAACAAATATTTGAACAGAAAATCTGTTAGGGCAATACAAATTGGAATCCGCTTGCTGTTCCAGACAATTTCATACTTCATACCTTGCCACCAGTTTCCTCTTGAAGCACTGCCAGAGTCATCTTCTCCCGAATTTTTATTAAACTGTTAAGTTCAAAAAAGAAATTACCAAAATATCTGTGATAGTCCTCTACAAGATATCTCAGCTATCCCCCACAGGACAACAAAAATTCTGAAATGAGAGCATCTCAGACAGGCACCACTTGTTTTTTTGGTTAGAGATGTCTATATATTGGTCTTATTAACCTTTCATGACTATGCTCACAAGAAGGAAGACAAATAAGTAAACAAAACCTCTTGATGATTAATTTCATTTCCTTTCTGCATCTGAAACACAGTAAAAGTTATTTCGTTAGTCCCTGGACTAATTTCCATGAGTAGAATTCTTACAGATATGAAACAAGTCTGATGTATGGTTTTTAATTTTTGCAACATTAGTTATTCTTTTTGAGTTGCATTTATAGAACTTTCTCAGGAAGTGTGCTCAAAATGTACAATAATGCAGTATTCATTTCAATTAGGTTTATGTATACTCACATTGGAGTACCCAGAGGTCTGGGTATTCTGAGGTTGAGAATAGACATCTTGTCTGCCATAGTATATTGATGAGCAGAGATTACATGGTTGAACTTTTTCCTGGTGATAAAACGAACTCGTGTCTCTGTTACTTATGCTCTGACTTCCTTCTTCATTGCTCCAAGGAGTTGTTTCTGCAAAAAGAGCAGAATCAACTCCAATTCAGAAGAAGGGACGACTACATGACCATCAACCCAATTTATGCACAAATGTATTCCCCAAAAATACAACACTTTGGAAATGATAGATTTTGAATAATGTCATTCAGGTCTGCCTAATGAGTAAGCATGTTATGACTTCATAAGGACTAAATGAAGGTTGTAATAGTTACTCACCAATGTATGAATTCTAGAAGATCATGGACAAACATTTAGTTTAATGACAAACATACAAGTTTCTTTTCTCAATATGAAGTCAAAATTAGATATTTCATAAAGACAAAAAGGACCATTGAGATCTTACAAAAACCATGGCAACCATTATCGTAACCTAGGAAGCACGGACACTTCATTTTGGGCAGAGTGTCGGTATCGGACACGTCTGGGACACGGACACACTCGGACACGTTAAAATGAGTGTCCGATTTTTTTATTATTAAATTTTTTTCAGGACACGTTGGGACACGTTTTGAGATTTATTTTCAATTTTTTTGAGAACATTTTAGATAATTTTATAATTAGGAATTATTTTTATAATTTTAAAGGGATATGAGTCACAATCATAATATAAAAGATGGAATTACAAAATTGGAGCTCTTTGAATTTGATGAAAATTAGTATTACGAAATGAAATATTTTTAAAGTAAAAGTTGTAGAAGTCATTGATTATTGAATTATGGATGTTAATATTGTACGTGTATTAATATATCTTATATTATACTTTTCATGCAATGATATCATGATGTAAATTTTTAAAATTAAGAAAATAATGAATTAAAAGATTATTATGATAATATTTTTATTTTATCATATGATTTTATATAAATAAATATATATATATATATATAATATTATTTAACGTATCGCTAACGTGTTCGTATCCTACTTTTTTGAAAAATTTCGTGTCAGCGTGTCTATATCGGGTCGTATCCGTGTCCCGTGTCCGTGCTTCTTAGATCGTAACAATGCATTTAACACAGGTAAAGCTTTTTTTTTTTTTTTTTCCTTGGGTCATTAAAAAGGGTTTGAGGGAGCAACCAGGGCAGAACCCTGCCTAGGCGTGACCATGTCAGCTGAAACTCGTGAGGAAGCCTACTAGTGGGGCCTAGATGGCAGAAAACCACAGATGCTCTCAAAGACCGACTTGAGCCCTAGCCTAACCCCCCAGCACAGAGCTATCAGTGGTAGGAAAGCTTAAACGGGGCATTGCAAGCCACTGGACCAGCAGCCCAGTGGTAGGAAATCTTTCAAACAGAGCAAAACTAAAAATAATCAAAGAAACTCTTATTTAGCATAAAAAATAAAAATATATATCAAAAAAAGAAATTCAGGCACAGCAGAAATGAAATCAACAAACTAGAGAACTCCTATTTTCCGTAGCATTCAATTTCTTCATAAACCTGGGGCTCCGGGTTTGGTGCTCCAAGATTGAGTTGCAGAGTCGTGCTTCTTCTCTACTGCCCCGGAGCGCAAAGACTCTCTCCCCAACACCTGAAACAAATCCAACGGCACCAAATTAGGAATTTTACTAATGGTGAAAATTTAACAGCTTTCTTACAATAAAATCATCAGAAGACAAAACAACATTCACAAATTTCACTTACAAAAAAAACAAGGTAGCAATTCAGCATTTAATACAAGGTTGAACAAAGTACGCATGCCGTTGAAAAACATAAAGAGACCAACAATTTGAAAGAAATCCCAAAAAGAGGAATGGGAATATAAACATGACACCACTCAATCCATCGTAAAGTACTAAACTTAGAACACTGCTATTCCGACACAATTTGCTGACACAATTTATTATACCTCTTACTTTAACCGTCAAAATTTGACAAAATATGATTAATTGTTATGAATTCATACGAATTAAGTGAATTTGAATGAGCTCTTAATAAATTTGAGTGATAAACGAGTTGATACGACAAATACATTTAATAAACGGTCATGTTCGGGTGAGACATGTCAAAATTAATATAATAATAAATTAATAATTATTTTAAAAAAATAGCAAGAAAAAAATAAGTAAAAAAATTAATAAAAAAAAGAAGTAAAGTAATAGTTTAAAAATAAAAGAGAAGAGATAAGAGGCACTTCAAAGACAAAGGTAAATTAATGTCTTTTATTTTTGTTCCACATTGAAAAATGAGGGGAGATGGGGAGGGTTGAGTTGCCTATAAAAAACAATGACCTCTTGCTCTTTTTTTTTTAAACTTTCAAATCTTATTTTTATGAGATTTGGTTAAAATTTTCTCTTTTTTGAGATAAGTACAATTGATAATAAAGAAAAGTGGAGTATTAAAATTTATTAATATAATTTTTTTAAAATTAAACGGGTTAAACGAGTTATGTCGTATTACCCGTTTATTAAACGGGTTGTGTTAGTGTTGAAATTTTTTACCGGTTTATTAAACGTGTCGTGTACGGATTTATATATTTTTCATCCGTCACACGTTTAACCTAACACATAACCGTTTAACCCGACACGTTTGACACCCCTATTGACAACAACTCCATCAAACATTAAAACTTCGCGTTAATGCAATGATTATAATAAAATTGTATCATTAAATTAAATTTTTAAATCTAAATAACATTACTCTTTAATTTAACCCAGCACATACAAGCTCTCATGGCAACTGTTCATTTTCATCTTCTCCGATTCTTCTCTTTACCTACTATAAAACCTCAAATTGAGTAAACCCTCCATTACCCTTTGTGCTTCTGCCAAATTTGGAGAGCTTTAGGAAAAGAACATTTTGGTGGAATCATATACATATGCTTTTACCTAATTTGGTGACCTCCAAGACAAAAAACCCATTGAAAATTCACGACATGCAATTCATGTAAATCTTCCAAACTTCTATTCCTACAGCAGTTTTGTCAATGAACGCGTCTCAGGCCGGATTGACTAACCCTAACCATTAAGGAGGCATTGCCATAGTTGGGTGCTCTGCTTTAGTGTGATTAACAAAAGCTAGACTAGGTTTGATAATACCCAAACACAAATAAAAAGAGATTGGGGTCGATTGTTGGCAAGAAGATATTTGTCTGAACTTCTTAGAAAATATGGAGAATTACATATAAGACTCTTAAAATTTCTCAGTTAATCACTCAGACATGATAATTGAAATATTATGCTCATAAAGGTTGTACACTTATATCACTTACACTCTTATTATAAATATATCTATTATAAATATATTTATATAATAAACTAGCTTACAATTCAAATGTCAAAAGATAAATAAAATGATATTTGATATTCGCGGTTGAGATCGCTTTAAATTTTACTTTAAAGTTAATCTAACGGCTAATATTAACACCATAAATTTAATAGGAACAATAGACCCCTAAGAGTGTGCTTGGAGTGACTTTTTAAAAGTACTTTAAAAAATTATTTCTCATAAATATTTAAAAAAAATATATATTTGAAACCACTCCACTACTACCTCTACCACCACCGCTACTGCCACTGCTATCGTCATCGCCACCGCGACCACCCCCCACCCCCACCACCACCACCGTTGCCACCACCACCGCTGCCACCACCCTTGTCACCGCCACCATGATCATTGTCACCCACCACAACTTTGACCGTTTCCTACCACTAGGGGTGTTCACCCTACCTTATGAGTAGAAAATATAGTCTTTCGTCTTCCTACCCGATACTTTACGGAAGAATTTTTTCTTACCCTACCCTATCCGATCAGGTGTGATATTTCTACCCGACTTCCTATCCGATGAATTGGGTAGGAAGTCGAGTAAACACTTTTGTAGCTATTAATTTTTGGATTATTTTAACAATTCAATTAAATAACATACACAAATTTAACAACACAATAAATCAATAACACTAAAACCTAAAACAACTACAACAACAATTATAATAAAACACAAGAAATCATGAACATTAATCCATCATAATTGTTACACAAATACAATAACAATTATTTTAAGTTTAAACTATATGAAACACATTAAAATCATAATTGCTTCAATAGATCACTAGTTTACTACAAATCATGTAACCTACGCAAAAACACAAGTTCATATTTTAGCAACTCAAACATCTACAATAACGATAATGTTATAATATAAATTATATCACACAAATACTCTTATAATTACTAAAAAAATATTAAAAAGTTAAATATATTTTTTGCGGGTAGGGTAGGGTAGGAATGTAAAAATTAATGGGTATTTCGCATTCCTACCCGATTTAATCGGAAAATCAAAATCTCTTCAGCATTTTCTACCCGATTTTTGCAACTAACTGTTCAGTAGGGTAAGGTAGGGTAGGAAATTGCTGCCAATCAAAAATTTGAACAACCCTACCTACCACCACCACTGCTGCCCACCATTTCTCACCGCCACTAAAAATCGATGCTTGATTTCTTTATCTCTTCTTTATGTTTGTGATTTGATTTTGAATATGAATACAAATATATTTTATTATTTATCATTTTTTATTACTCTGTGCTTGAAAACACATGTAATAACTAGTCTATTAATAAATTACATTCAGACCCCTAAAATTTATAAACATATATTACTTAAATTCCTTAAGTTTAAAATGTTATATTTCGACCAAAAATATTTCAATCAAAGATAAAAATATCAAATATTTTAAATTTTATAATTAAAATTCATATTCTATTATATCATTTATTGAAATAAAACCAAAAATAAAAATTCAATTTTTTCAAAAAATTGTAATTAGTATACAATTATATTGTCTGTTGGAATTTAATTTAGTCTTTTAAACGATCAAATTAAAATACCAAACTACCTTAATTAAAGTTAAAAGATATTATGTTCATTACAATTTGATTCTTTGTTTAATTTTTTAGTTTTATTTTAATAGATAGTATAATTATATACTAATTATGATTTTCTTAAAATTAAATTTTTAGTTTTTATTTTATTTTAATAAATGACAGAATATAATATGAATTTTAGATGTAAAATTCATGTTTTATTATGAATGACTTCGACCACTTATTTGATTTTTTAGTTTTATTCTAATAGATAGTATAATTGTATATTAATTATATTTTTTTATGAAAAAAATAAATTTATTAATTTTAATTTTATTTTAATAAATGATACAATAAAATATAAATTCGATTGTAAAATTTAAAATATTTGATATTCAGTTACGCATGTAATATACATGAAAACTGTTTCCTAAAGAAGAAGAAGGAGAAAAAGTGCTTGAAGAAGGCCATACCTTGGACGAAGGAGCAAAGATTGACCCGAAAATCCCCGAAGATGATGAACCATAGGAATCCTTCGAACCAAAGAGATCAGAAGTGAAAGACGACGATGATGATGATGAATCGCCTTGCTTTTTTCCCTCCATGTCTGTCTCAGAAGTGAAAGACGACGACGACGATGATGAACCGCCTTGATTTTTTCCCTCCATGTCTCTCTCTTCCCTGTATCTCTCTCTCTCTATCTGAAACTCGCAATCTGAACACGAATGAGAGTGCCCGAAGAGAGGCTAATATATAAACATGACCCAGTGTCAAAGAAGCTTCATATAAGACGAAACTTCCAACAAATTTGCAAACAGAAGAGTCCAATTATAAATAAAGACAAAAAGGAAACAAAATCGGACAAAAAAATAATAGAAAGAAATATAACCCACTAATAATAAAATTTTAAATAGACAAAATAAATTTTACTTGAACTTACTTGACAGAAGGGCGATAATTATTTATTTATACAACAGATTTGTCATTAATTTTTATAAAATTAATTAATTAATTTATTTTAATATTATTAATTAATAATACTGCGTTATTTTGTTATCTAATATCGCTGTTTTAATGAATATTTTCTCGCCTCCTTGATTCCTACCAGTCGAAAATCCAACACATTTGTGCCACGTATACAATCAGTCATCCTGGTGGGACCACCCTGCCGACTTCCCAACCTTTTTACTTTTTTATTGCCATGAACGCCCTAATGCATAATAACGACCTCAACTTCCTTCTTATGTAATGTCCTCTTCATCTTCACTATGCTACACCCGATTAATTCTTTTTTTTTCAATTTAACGGTCATAATATTTAGATCAATTTATATGCATTTTAATTATTAACTAATTTTTTCTTCAATTTAATCAAAAATAAATCATCTATATCAAAAATAAGATATTCATAAGAAATTTATTTTTCGTAGTTTAATTCTAATGAATTATCAAGATTCGAATTCATGGCGTTTATTTTTATAATTTATCGTTATTGTCACTTGAACTACTCATTGGAGTTACTTTATTAAATATTTAATATATCAATCACACTAATGTTATTATTTAATAAACGATAATTAAATAAATAAAATAATATTTACTTTTATAATATTTATTTGTTTTTCTTTTATTTAGTATGTCATGTATATCATTTAATATTATTTTATTTCGTATTATATGTCAATATTCTCAAATTTGACAACCAATTATACAACCTTAGAACTATGACATGGTGGGGTTTGGGATGGGAAAAGAGGTGGAGAAAACTGGCATTGTCCTTTTTAGTTGCTGAATGAGTCTTCTTCCCTCCCCCTCCTCTTCAGTCAGAAAAAGATCAGACACATGGGACATGGAAGTGATGAGCCACTGGCCGGTTATTTGTAAGTGGGATAGAGATACACATAATGACAACCATGATGGATGCAGACCTCTTTTTTGATATTTTTGTAGCAAATCACTCACAATTAATGAATAAAACACTTATTATTTTTTTATGGGTATTTTTATTACTGTTATAAACATTTTTATCACATTTATAATAACTATTTTTATCATTTTTTTCAATACAAAAAAACTTACCTCATACCTGAGGTACAATGAAATGTGAATGGTTTTAAAAAAGATGTTAGTGGACGTCGAATGAGTTTATTTGAGATCGTCAGATAAATTATTGAAGTATTCTTTTTTTTATATATTATAAATTTGTCACTTTTGTGAGTATTTTTATCGTATTTGTGAATATTTTTATTATTGATGTGGTAATTATTTTTATTATTTTTTGAGTACTATAACATTGATAAAAATACCTACAAATATATTAAATGGAGGTATAAAAAAAATTCGATACCATAATCAACTCCCGTGTTAAATATCTTGTTTGTTCCAAAGCTGGATTAGGAAGTTATCGCTCATATTTTATGGTGAGTTCAATTTAGTAGACTAATTGACTTTTAGGTTCTTATAATTTAGTAGAGTTAGAGAAAGAAATAAGAAACAGTAGGTTAATTGGCATTGGATGTTAAATTCTTGGCCACGAGGTATTAATGAGGAAAGTGAGTGGGAAGGACTAAGGAGGCTAAAGATAGCGACAGTGGTGACCCTGATCCTGGTGGGGATCAACATAACATGTCGACTGAAAGTGAAGGGTTCTGGGAAGGAGGCTAAAGATAGCAGCAGTGGTGGCCCTTGTCCTAGTGGGATCTTTAAGAATTTTAATGATTCATATATAATATTTAGAACACATAAATTATAAAATTTTGATCATATAGGTTTAGATCATACATTTGTTAGTCATGGTATTCGATCTTCAGGTTTCTTTTATGGAAGGACAAGATCTTCATGTCCTTTTTCAAAGTAATAGGCGACTCTCAATAGGACAAGCTAAATTAGGTTATGAAGTAAAGAGGGGACCTAGCCTGCTATTTATAATGAATCTAATGACCTCTCTCATTACGGGTCACAATTAGATTAAGACCTAAACTTAACCGTCTCAATCACATCAATTAGAAGATGTACGTAAGCCAATCACAATAGATCACTTAAAAATATTGAGTTCATCTCATTGGACCATAAATTCAATCCGTTTTTCACAAACCCAAAAGTAACTATTAATTAATAGAAGTCTAATATGGAAAAATTCTAACATTCTCCCACTTGGGTACCATTAATTGTAGTCATTTAAAAAATAAAAAAAAATAATATATATTTTTAATCAAACTAAAAAATTCAATGTGCCCATAATAAAAATACAATCCTGAGACAACATCTCAAACATAATCTAGTCTAATAAAACTACTATTTTCAAGCATGACGGCTTTTATATCCTTTATTGATATATGACTAATCCATGATTACAAAAAACAATAATCTTATTGATATGGGTCAAGATGTGATAGTGTAATAAGAAAATGACATCCCAATATGTGATATGATAAACATGTTATTTTCATTATCAGTTCTCCAAATAATTTTTCTTTAAAAACATGTTTCAACAATAAGTTAAAGAAATTCATTAGCCTCAACAATAAAGTAGAGAAATCCATTAATTTCAACAATAAGCTAGTATGTCTCCAAACTTAAAATCTCAAGATTTTCTCAAATTGTGTAATCAGAGACATACTTTATTAACAAATACTCATACTTAAGACAACAGTATGCCATAAATGTGTCAGGAGTGCAACTTGGGCGAGTTGGACAGTCAACTCTAGCTCAACCTTAGGTATATAATCTTCAACTCTAACCCTACCTCGGGTTGATAAACTCAACCCAAGCACTGCCCAAGTTTAAACCGGGCGGAATCGGGTAGAATTCGAGTTAATGATTTTAGGCTGATTTCAAGTTAATTTTCTAAACCTGATACATATATTACATAATATTTAAATAATCTAACAATCAATAACTTCAATCAAGTTTTTAAAATAAAAACCATAAAATTAAGAACTCAATGCAACCACAACCATACATAACACAAAGTCACAAACACTGCTGCCAGTGCAAAACATAACACTGCTGTCAATTTAACAGAAATAACAATGCTGTCAGTTTAACAAAAATAACAACACTGCTACCTTGCACGTAACCAGTTTAACAAAACACAAACATTAGCAAAACATAGTCCATAAAGATAAGAAAATCAGATTAACCCTAGTATAAATTATAAAATTGTATTTATATAATAGTAATTCGGGTTGAACCCGATTTTAATATTCGGGTTCAACCCATGAACCCGAGGGGTTAACCCGAGGCCCATCCAAATTGAATTCAGGTTGAAGTTTTTTGACCCAAGCCCAACCCAAGTATTAAAAACTCTTACCTAAGCCCTAATTTTTTCAGGTTGAAATTAGGTTGCTCAACCCAAGTTACACCCCTAAAATGTGCACATATATAACATAGCAAGAATATCTTACTAACAACAAGGATGATCATCCAAATATTTATTATTCATCAAATAAAAGTATGTCAACCATATTGAGTATCAAATATCACATATGGAATTAAACCAATACTAAAGTTCTTAACACATAAATAAACTCTCACTAACCAAGTACATCAAAAGACCCAAAAAAAGTATTCATGTTGTCAACATGTTTCTTAAAAGTTACAAGTCTCAGTCCCTTGATAAAGGATCAGTAATCATTGATTATGTATAAATACGTTCAATCACAATGTCACCTTTTTTCACAAAGATCCCTGACAGAAAGATATTTAATTTTCATATGTTTAGACCCATTATAATTTTTTATGTTCTTTGAGAAAAATATAACTGCACTATTATCACAATAAATTGTTAGTGGTCTAGAGATGAAATAAACAATCATAAGTCTTGAAATAAAATTGCTTAGTCATATAATTTGTGTTGTAGCTTCATAATAAGCTACAAATTCAGCTTGCATAGTGAAAGAAAACTGTGAGAGTTTATTTAGCACTCTTCCATACTGTTACTCCTCCAACTAACATGAAAATATATCCTGAAGTGGATTTTAAATCATCTGGACACCCAGCAAAATTTGAATCTGAGTAACCAATCACTTCAAGACTACCAACTCTCCTATAAATAAACATGTGATTTTTTGTTCTTTGCAAGTATTTCATAACTTTCTTAACTGTCACCCAATAATCTAATCTTGGTTTGAAAGATATCGGCCAAGAACACTATTTGCAAAAACAATGTCAAGTCTAGAACAAACACATGCATACATTAATCTACCAACAACACTCTTATAAGGTATATTCTTTATAGACTCTTCCTCAATATCATTCTTGAGACATTGACTTAAACTGAACTTATCATCTTTCACGACAGGTACATCACCAAGCTTACAATTATACATATTAAATTTTTTAAGCACACAATCTATATATGCCCTTTGAGAAAGTTCCAACAATTCTCGAATCCTATCCCAATGAATTTGAATGCCTAACACAAAAGATGATTCCCTAAGATCTTTCATGTCAAATGTTTTACACAACAATTGCTTAAGCTCATGAAGTAAACTCAAATCTTTAATTGTAAGCAAAATATCATTAACATAAAGAACAAGAAAAATAAATTTACTCGCACTGACCTTAAGATATATGCATTGATCCATCTTTTTCTCAACAAAATCAAAAGAACTTACTATCTCATCAAATTTCAAGTATCACTGACTAAAAGCTTGTTTGAGACCATA